AACCAAGCGGAGGCTTGGGGACCGCTTTGCAGAACACCTACGCTCAGTTCACACTAAACAACTGTACCTCCCAGTCGCGAACCATTTCAACTCACCCTCCCATTCCGCAGATGACATGTCCATCCTGGGCCTCCTGCAGTGCCACAACGATGCCACCCGAAGGTTGCAGGAACAACAACTCATATTCCGCTTGGGAACTCTGCAGCCCAGTGGTATCAATGTGGACTTCACAAGCTTCAAAATCTCCCCTCCCCCTACCGCATCCCAAAACCAGCCCAGCTCATCCCCGCCTCCCTCACCTGTCCTTCCTCCCATCTATCCCCTCCTCCCCCCCAAGCCCCACCCCCATCTCCTACCTACTAACCTCATCCCGCCCCCTTGACCTGTCCGTCCTCCCTGGACTGACCTATCTCCTCCCTAACTCCCCCCTACACTCACCTTTACTGGCTCCATCCCCGCCTCTATGACCTGTCTGTCTCCTCTCCACCTATTTTCTCCTCTATCGATCTTCTATCCACCTCCCCCTCTCTCCCTATCTATTTCAGAACCCCCTTCACCTCCCCGATTTCTGAAGAAGGCTCTAGGCCCTAAGCATCAGCTTTCCTGCTCCTCTGATGCTGCTTGGCCTGCTGTGTTCATCCAGCTCTACACCTTGTTATCTCAGATTCTCCAGCGTCTGCAGTTCCTACTATCTCTTGTGCAGTGATGCGTGGAAGCCAGCAGAGGGAGGCACTGTATCATTTTAAATACAAAAGGGACAGGCAGAGAGACAGAGAGAGACTCAAACTCTGATTCATTCAGAGATAGTAAGAAATGCCAATGCTGGAGTCAGAGATAACACGGTGTGGAGCTGGAAGAACACAGCAGGCCAGGCAGCATCAGAGGAGTAGAAAAGTTGATGTTTTGGGTCGGGACCCTTGACTTCAGTAACATTTTCTGAAGAAGGGTCCCGACCCGAAACGTCAACTTTCTTGCTCCTCTGATGCTGCCTGGCCTGCTGTGTTCCTCCAGCTCCACACTGTGTTATCTCAAACTCTAATTCATCATGTTTTAATTCATTCATTCAAAATTTCCTCTAGGACAAAATATGTCCCATTGCAGGCAGTGCTGGTCTCGCTCTCTCTCTCTCTCTCTCTCACTGCCACATATAGATAAACAAAAACAGCTTCATAGATACCAACACACAGGGATAGACACGTGAATACAGACACTTTCCTCCAGGACAAAATGTATCCCATTGGAAGCAGAGCTGGTCACACAGAGTTTGTTATCCCCATGTACAAATATTATAACCTGGGACATCTTAAAAAGGCATATCACTGTGATTGATGCACCCGTGTCCAGATGCAGCAATTTGCACAAAAGAGCTCAGCCGACACACAACAGGCACAAATCTCAAACTCTCTCTCACACACACAAACACTCTGATGTACACTGTCTCTCATATACACATGCGCAGCACTCAAGTGATATAAACACACACACACAGGAACTAAAACACATCGCTTCCTGGTTTAGAGGGATATGGGCCAAATTGGACTAACTCAGTTTAGGATGTCTCGTCGGCATGGACAAATTGGACCGAAGTGGGTGTTTTTGCACTGTATGACTCTATGACAGTAGTGATGTATTGCATTACGCACACTTGAATGCACACAAACACACAGATGAACACAGGTCTATCAGTGATGTACACTGCAATATACACGCACAGAAACATACATGGACAAACAGATGTCACTCAGTGGTGTACACTGTGATATACACGTGCATACAGAAATGCACATGAACAATCAGCTGTCACTCTGATGTTCACTGCAATACACACATACAGAAATACACACGGAAAAACACGTCACTCAGTGATGCACTGTCTCACACAAACATCACCAAGACATAAAGGCCACATACACACACACAGTCTCTCTCTTTCACACACACAGAGTAACAGAGGAACACATATACACACACAAAAGTTGACACACTCAAATCTCCTTGAAAACTTCTAGATCACATTGCATTACTGTTGGGCAGCAGTTATTTCAAATTAAACTACAAATATCTGAGCTATTCTTTCAATTCCTGTCCTAAGTATCATTTCATCTGTTAATAAAACTCTGCCAAATCTTTGACAAGGTCCCTCATGTCAGGTTGATACAGAAGGTAAAGTTGCAAAGGGTCAGAGGTGAGCTTGCAAGATGAATAAATACTGGCTCGGTCACAGAAGGCAGAGGGTAGCAGTGGAAGGGTGTGTTTCTGAATGGAGGGCTGTGACTAGTGGCGTTCCTCAGGGACCTTTGCTGTTTGTGATTTGGATTTGGGGGAGAATGCAACTGGTCTGATTAGTAAATTTGCCGATGACACAAAGTTTGGTGGAATTGCGGATACTGATGAGGACCTTCTAAGGGTACAACTGGATACAGATCAGTTGGTGACTTGGGCAGATAGATGGCAGGTGAAGTTTAATCCGATAAAATGTGAGGTAATACATTTTGGAAGGTCTAATCCAGATGGAAAATATACAGTAAATGGCAGAATCCTTAACAGTACTGATAGGCAGAGGAATCTGGGTGTGCAGGTACACAAGTGGCAACGCAGGTGGAACAGGTAGTCAACAAAGCATACGGCATGCTTGCCTTCATCGGCCGAGGCATTGAGTTTAAAAATTGGCAGGTAATGTTGCAGCTTTATAGAACCTTAGTTAGGCCGCATTTGGAATATTGTGTTCAATTCTGGTCGCCACACTACCAGAAGGATGTGGTGGCTTTGGAGAGGACACAGAATAGATTTACCAGGATGTAGCCTGGTATGGAGGTCATTAGCTATCAGGAGAGGTTGGAGAAACTTGGGTTGTTCTCACTGGAACGACAGAGGTTGAGGGGCGACCTGATAGAGGTCTACAAGATTATGAAGGGCATGGACAGAATGGACAGTCAGAAGCTTTCTCCCAGGGTGGAAGAGTCAGTTACCAGGGTCCATGTGTTTAAGGTGCGAGGGGCAAGGTTTAAAAGTTATGTACGAGGCAAGTTTTTTACACAGAGGGTGGTGGGTGCCTGGAACTCGCTGCAGGGGGAGGTAGTAGAAGCAGATACTATAGTGACTTTTAAAGGGCGTCTTGACAAATATATGAATTGGATGGGAATAGAGGAATACGGTCTCCGGAAGGGTAGGGGGTTTTAGTTGTGACGGGCAGCATATTGGAGCAGGCTTGGAAGGCCGAAGGGCCTGTTTCTGTGCTGTAATTTCCTTTGTTCTTTGTTCTCTCAATTAGATTACAGTCTCTAACTCATTCCAGGTTATCTGTTACTCTGTAAAAATCCCTCCCTGAACCTCTCATTAGATTTCTGTCTGTAACTTATTCCCAGTTATCTGTTGCTCTGTATATAAACCACTCTGATCACCTTGATTACATTCTAGTCTGTAACTCACTCCTGAATATTTCTAACTTTGTGTATAATCCTAGCTGAACCACTTGTTTAGATTCCTGTCTGTATTTCACTTCCGCATATCTGTTCCACTGTATGTAAGCTACCCTGAACCCTTTCATTAGTTTCCAGTTTGTAACTTACTCCCAGGTATTTCTCACTCTGTATATGTATGCATCGAGCACCTTGATTTGATTCCAGTTTGTAGCTCTTTCCCAGGTATCTGTTATTCTATATATGTACACCACAGACTCCTTGGTTAGATTCCAGTCTGTCACTCACTTCTGAATATTTGTTATTCTGCATATCAACTATCCTGAATCATTCAATTCTAGTCTGTACCTCACTTCAATGCATCTGTTATTCTATATATAAACCACCCTGAATGTCTCGATTAAATTTTAGTTTAGGCACTCCTGGGTGTTCGTTATTCTATGTACAAACCACCCTGAACCCATTGTGTGCTGCCTAAAAATGAAAAAAAAAACAAATGATCTGCAATTGAACAAACCTCCTGGACCCATAGAGATGTATGTGTTGTATATATCTATTTGTGAGGGAGCAAATGTGACTGTGAGGGAGCGAGTGTAACTATGAGAGAATGATGTTTGTGGTTGAGTTTGTTTGAGTGAGAGATTGTGCTCGAGTGTGTGTGTGAGGTCTGTGTAAGATTGTGTGATTCAGTGAGACGATGAGTGTGTAATGCTGTACAAGTCAGTGTCTGTGTGAGTGTGTGTGCATGCGAGTGTAATTGACTGAAAGTGTGTGAGTATATGACAGAGACTTTGTGTGAGTTTCAGTGCGTGTCAGAGACTGGGTGTGAGAAAGAGAATGAGTGAGCGTGTGTGTAAGAGAGAGACTGAATGAGTGAATGTGTGTGAGATAGAGACTTATGAGTGTGTGTGGGAGAGACTGAGTGAGTGTGTATGTGGGAGAGGGACTGAGTGAGTGTGTGCGTGCATGTGAGAGAGACTGAGTGTGAAAGAGACTGACCCTTTTGAAGAAAGGTCCCGTCCCGAAACGTCAACTTTCCTGCGCCTCTGATGCTGCTTGGCCTGTCATGTTCCTCCAGCTCCACACTGTGTTGTCTCTGAGTGAGTGTGTGTTTGTGAGAGAGACTGAGTGAGCATGTGTGTCTGTGTGTGTGTGTGTGTCTGTGTGTGTCTGTGTGTGTGTGTGTGTGTGTGTGTCTGTGTGTGTGTGTGTGTGTGTGCGCGTGCATAACTACTAATGCTTTGGATAAATAGGTACTGCCCTGGCCTGCAGCAGTTGATGAAAGGCAGATGACCACAACTCTTTCAAGGTCAATTATAGTGGTATTGTAATCGCTGATTGTACCAGTCAGTGAAAACAAAACAAAATGCCCTTTCTATGTCATTGCTACAGGCGATCTGACAAATTGTTCGGTTAATATTTGCTCATGCATTAACTCGGTATCAAAGATAAGTTCCCTCTTGTGAAATGATGCCTAATTGAAGTTTAATTAGCATTCCCATACTGCCTTATCTGTAATCCTTTGGCCCTCCCTTTGGATTTATATGAGATCGCACTCCTGCCGACTTTGCACTGACTGAATCTGGTTTTGATCAACGGCAGACTCGCGCAATGATGGGTACCTTGCCAACACTGTTCCTGATCTTGGTGTTCTTCCCTCATGGTCTCCAAAGCTGTGGTAAGCTGCAGCTGCCTCATGTTCTAACTAAACAGACAGCTCCATTTCCAAACTTGGATGAAGTGTTTCAGTTTGAGTTGGAATGGCTGGCATTCTTGTACGATCAGCAGAAAATGCCAAGGAATGTTTTAATAGAGATATTCAAAATTATGGTGATAAAGGAAATAAGGGATAATGTTTCCAGCGATAGGAGCGTCAATTCCTCGAAGACACAGCATTAAGAGGTTCTGCAAAGAAACGAGAGGGGGTCAAGATGAAATCTTTTTGACATAGCCTGTTGTTGTCACTTGAAATTTTCCACCGGAAAGGATAGTAGAATCGGATTTGACAAGAAACCTGAAAAGATGACTTAGGAGAATGTGTAAAAGAGTTGTTATAAGTTACGCGACATGGACAAAGATCAGAAATAGAAGTGAGACATAAGTTCCATCTCAGTGAGCAGATTAATTTGTCTCGATTTGCAAATTTTCCACTGCTTGCTTTCAAATGTTTTCCAGGAGATAGCACAGAAGCTGCGGCCCAGCTCGAGGAACAGTTGAATGAGTCTCTGGGTCAACGACTAAGCCCCAGCGTGGTACTTGCTCTGTGTCTGGTGAACCACAAGGTCAAACCAGACATTGTAAAAAGCCTGAAGGAGGATGTTATCAGCAAAGGTAAGAGACGGAAGATGGTACAAATAGGGCATGCCCTGTGGGATACAACAGGGGGAACACGCGTCAGTACATCCCGAACACACTTTCACTCCCATACCGTTGGTTAAGTTTCTCCACTGAGTGAGAGATCTACTGAGGGAATGGTTGCACTGTCACACAGTTCGTACTGAGGGAATGCTGAATTGTCAGAGGTTAGTGCTGAAAGAATTCTGTACTGAATGACAGTCAGTAATGTTGGAGTTCTGCTCTGTCAAAGGTACAGTGATGAGAGACTGTTGGACACCCACTGCTAAGGGACCCCTGCACAGTCACTGTGTCAGAGCTGAGGGAAGTTTGCATGGTCACAGTGTCTGCACTGAGGAAGTTCTGTATTGTTGGAGGGTCAGTACTGAGGGAGCACCACACTATTGGAGAGTCAGTATTGATGTAGCACTGCAGTGTCGGAGGGTCGATACTGAGGAGTTTTTCACTGTCAGGGGGTCAGTACTGAGGGTGTGCCACACTGTCGGAGGTTCAGTACTGAGGGAGTGCTGCACTGTTGGTGGGTCAGTGCTGAGGGAGGGCTGTATTGTCATAGGGACAGGACTGAGGAAGTGTCAGATTGTCAAAGGGTTAGCAGTGTGTGAGAGCCACACTTTTGGAGTGTCAGTACTGAAGGAGAGTTGGAAGGTCAGTGCTGAGGGAGTGACACACTGTCAGAGGGTCAATATGGAGGGAGATGTACACTGTCAGAGGGTCGGTACTGAGGGAGTCCTTCACTGTCTGAGGGTCAGTCCTGAGGGAGTGCCGCACTGTCGGAGGGCCAGTACTGAGGGAATGCTCTGCAGTCGGAGGTTCAGCAGTGAGGGAGTGCTGCACTGTCAGAGGGTCAGAACCGAGGGAATGCCACACTCTTGGAGGGTTAGTACTGAGGGACAGCCACACTGTCAGAGGGTCAGTGCTGAGGGAGTGCCACACTGACGGAGTGCCACACTGTCAGAGGGTTAGTACTGAAAGAGTGCCACATTGTCGGAGGTCAGTAATGAAGGAATGCCACACTGTCAGAGGGTCAGTGCTGAGGGAGCGCTGCACTGTCAGAGGGTCAGTACTGAGGGGGTGCCACACTGTGAGAGGGTCAGTGCTGAGGGAGTGCTGTGATTCATGCTAAGCAACGGCAACAGTTTAAGATGATCATAACTGAGACAGCATCATACAATTGGCTTGCCGGTACTGCGTAAAGGATATATATTTAGAGGCCTGACCTGCGGATGTGCTAGAATATCAAGATTCAGATGTATCTTCCACAAAGGAGGCACGCCCGACTGTGTGAAATCGGAGGATCACTTTGTATGTGCAGACATTGCTGAAGCCTTGCTTCTTATGTTCTCTTCTCAACAGGGGTGAATATGACCAGTGGGAAGCTGGGCCAGTATGTGTTGGCTTTGATCTCCTGTTGTGAAGACACAAAAAACCTGATGATCGACAAGGAATTAACCCATGGCATCAACCTGGGGAAGTTGCTTTCCGAGAAGCTTGGCCAAGAGATTAAATGCATCAGTAAGGTGGATTGTCGTTAGGCGAGGAGAAAGGTGTAAGAACAGCAAAGCCATGTGTCTTTTTGGTTTGTTTATTTATAAGATCTTTCTGGCTAGGTCAGTATTTAGAGTCATAGAATCATGCAGTCAAACAGCATGGAAACAGACCCTTTGGGCCAACCACTCCATGCTGATCATAATCCCAAACTAAACTATTCCCTCTTGCCTGTGCATGGCCCATATTCCTCCAAACGTTTCTAATTCATGTACTTATGCACATGTCTCTTAAACATTGTAACTGTAACCGCATCCACAACTTCTTCTGGAGGATCATTCCACACGTGATCCAACCTTCACGTAAAAAAAAAATGCCCCTCATGTCTGTTTTAAATTTTTCTCCTCTCATCTTAAAAATATGCCCCCGAGTCTTGAAATCCCCCACCCTAGGGAAAAGACACCTTCCATTCACCTTATCAAAATCACTTGTTAATTTATAAATGTCTATAAGGTCACCTCTCAAACTCTTATGCTCCAGGCTATCCAGCCTCTCCTTGTAACTCAATCCCTTCATTCCTGGCAACAGCGTGGTAAATCTCTTCTGAACTCTCTGCAGCTTAATAATATCCTTCCTGTAACAGGGAGACCAGAACTGGACACGATGCTCCAGAAGAGGCCTCACCAACATCCTGCACAACCTCAACATAACATTCCAACTCCTATACTCAAAAGTCTAATCAATGAAGCCAAGCATGCTATATGCTTTTTAAACCACCCTATCGATATGTGATGCAAATTTCAAAGGATTATGTATCTGAACCCCTTGGTCTCTGTTCTACAACACTGCCCAAGGCCTGACTTTAATTGTATTTGTCCTGTCTTTATTTGTTTTACCAAATTGCATATCTCACATTTATCCAACTTAAACACCATTTGCCCATTGACCCAATTGATCAAGATCTCTTTATAATGTTAGATAACCTCCTTCACTGCCCACTATACCACCAATCTTGATGTCATCCATAAACTTACAAACCATGCTTTCTATATTCTCATCTAAATAATTTATGTAAATGACAGACAAAAGTGGACCCAGCACTGATCCCTGTAGAACATGCTGGTCACAAGCTTCCAGACGGTAAAAACAACCCTCCACCATCACTCTCTGTCTCCTGTGTTAAGCTAATTTTGTATTCAGTTGGCAAGCTGACACTAAATCCCATGTGATCTAACTTTAATGATTAGTCTATCATATGGAACCTTGTCAAAGGCTTTACTAAAGCCCAAGTAAACAATGTTTACTGCTCTGCCATCATCAAACTTCTTGTTTACTTCCCATAAAAAGCTCAATCACATTTGTGAGACATGATTTCCCTCACAAAAACGATGCTGACTATCCCTAATTGTTTCTTGCCTCTCCAAATTCATACGAATCCTATATTTTAGAATCTCCTCCAACAATGTACTCACCACAGAAGTCAGACTCATAGGTCTACAGTTCCCAGACTCCGCCTTACTTCCGTTCTTAAACAGAGGCACAACATTAGCCACTCCCCAGTCATTCGGGATCTCACCCGTATTTATAAATGATACAAATATTTCTGCAAAGGGCCTTGCAATTTCCTCCCTACCTTCCCACAAAATCTTGGAATGCTCTTGATCAGGTCCTGGAGATTTATCTGCCTTTATATTTTCTGTTTATTGTCCATCTTTAATTTTCTAGAGTGCACTTAAGAGCCAACAACATTGCTGTGGGTTTGGAGTCACATGTAGGTCCAGACAAAGCAAGGACAGTGGTTTCCTTTCGCAAAAGGACAATAGTGAGCTAGATGGGGTTTTCCCCAACAATTGACAGTGGTTTTATGGTCACCATTAGACTTTTAATTCTAGAGATTTTGAAACTGAAATCATACTTGTAGTCTAAGATGTGACTCCAATTACATGCGATTGGTCCATGTCTCTTGATAACTCGGGCTAATCTATCAATCACAGCCTGTAAAATTGATGGTTTCTCCTGTATCAATTACTGTTTATAGAAGGGAGATTTAAACTATTATCACAACTTTATGTATCAAAATGGTTCTTAATGACACTCCTGAAACATCGAGGTCTAAATTTTAGATTTTCATATTAGTCCTGCGCACCTCAATCTAATAAATTGCTTTGGGTTCATTTGCCTGATCCCTAAAAATCTTGAAAACTTCAATCAAAATCACCTTCAACATCTAAAGTATGAGATGTACGTGTAGGCTTGATAAAACCACTCTTCCGAGTAGCAACAGTAAGAACTGTCGATGCTGGAGTCAGAAATTACACAGTGTGGAGCTTTTTGACAGAATTAATTTCCACCACTCATCTCTGCTTTAAATCTGTCAGCTCTTATCCTAAAATCTTCAGCTACTTTATTATTGTTCTTCCATTCAACACAGGGTCAAAAATGGAGATGTTTGCTGATGATTGTACAATGTTCATCTCCATTCAAGGCTCCTCAGATACTGAAACAGTCCATGTCCATATACAGCATTATCTGAAAAATATCCAGACTTGGGCTGGTAAGGGACATGGATAACCTTCACGCCACACATGTGTCAGCAAATAACCAGCTCCAACAGTAGAGAATCTAAAATCATCTCTTGATGTAGCATGGCACTCAATACTGAATCCCCCACAATCAGCATCCTGGGGATTACTATTGTACAAAAACAAATATGGGTGTGCCCTATACATATTGCGATAACAAAAGTAAGTAGGAGGCTATGAATTCTACCTCAAAGAACTCACTTCCTGTCTCTACAGTGCCTATCCACCATCTAGGAGGAACAATGCAGGAGTTTGATGAAATATGCACCATTGACCAGCATGGGAGCATCTCCAAAAAAAGACTCAAAATTCTTGATGTCATCCAGGGTGAAGCATCCTGCTTGTTTGATATCTCTCCCATTACCCTCAACATTCCATCCTTCCACCACTGGAAGCAATATGTACCATCTATAAGATGTATTGCAGTAAATCACCAAAGCACTTCTGACAGTACTTTGCAAACCTGCGACCCCTACCATCTAGAGATAGGTGGGCAGCATATGGATGGGAACACCAGGACAGATAGGTTTTCCTTCAAGCTGCTCGCCACCTCTGACTTAACTATTTTGTAGTTCCTTTACTTTGTCTGGGTCAAACTCCTGGAATGACTGCACTGTGAGTGTTTCAACACCCGGAGCACCATCATCATATCCAAAACAAATAGGAATGGAGAATTAATGCTTGCGCAGAAAGCAACAAAGTATTGCATATGCAAGAATCAAAACACCAATGTTTGTTCCAAATTCGAGTCCATTTCTAGTCTGGAGGAGAAGAATATGTTATGAAATTGCTGTTGCAGCGGTTATCTTCTTTGTCAAGAAATAAACAAATGTTAACAGTCAATGACAATTGACATTGATTAAAAAGGCTACCAGGATCAAATAGGGTCACTATATCCCATTGACCCGATGTTAAAGACTGATCTTGTATCAATTGTACCCTATTATCATTGTTACAGACCAGAACAGACCCTCTCAAAATATTTTAAGAAGGCAGCCCAGACCCTAATGTTTTCTTATTTTACGGGTAGAAGTGAAGTGCCGTGTTCCAGATGTAATGCGACCGGTTAAACTACTCAATGCTAATCAAAACACAATTTATTTAAACACTATACTTAAAATACAAACAAAAGAAAGAGTAATTTAGATTAATGTAACTGTTGGAAAATACTTATCCCGTTTGACCTGATGTTAAAGACTTATCATGGTTCAGACACTTGGACAAGCCTAATCCTTGAATTTTGCATTTAGCTTGCAAAGATGTCAATGTCTTGCACAAATCATGAATGAGCTTCAATGAATTGGGTCCAGGGATGAAGGAGTTCACTTCAAGTGGAGAGCTTGACTAATGGAGAAGGGAGTTCCACTGTGAAAAATAAATATTACCTTCTTTCTCTGAAATACCATACTTCTGATCATTAAACAGTGGCCTAAGTTCTTATATCCCCCACAAGGGGAATCATTCACTCAGAATCCACTATGTCAATTGTCCTCAGGATGTGATATGTGTCAATATGATTCTCTCTCCTTCATTTACTGCCCTCTCGAAAGCAAAGGTTGGGCAAGAACACTTCAACAGAGTTGTTTAAAATCATAGAGGAGGTTGATTGAATAAATAAAGAAGAATTACTTCCAGTGGCAGGAACGTTGTTAACCAGAGGGCAACAGGTTAAAGAAAATCGGTAAAAGAAACAAAGGGGGAGATAAGGATAATTTATTTTGCACATTGCATTGTGATCTGGAATGCATTGCCTGAAAGAATGATGACGCTAGGTTAATTTCACTTAGGAAAGATGATATAAATGACTAAATAAATGCAAGCTGGAGGAACAACACCTCATTTTCCGCTTGGGGACCCTACAGCCCTCCGGACTCAATATTGAGTTCAATAATTTTAGGG